TAAACACACCAATAGAGCGAATAGCTTAGATTAAAATGGTGAAACCGGTGCCGTAGCCATGCTTATTATTTATGTATAATATTATATGTGTGCGCGAGTCAAGCGCAGATCTGAAGAACCGCAGAGAGCAAAAATTGGAGTCGCACGTCAACCACGTTAATAGTCTATATACTGCATTTTGCGCAGCCGCATATGCAGCACCCATGCATACCTACATGTATAATACGCCGGTGTAAGTGTGCGTGCTGTACATAAATCCATCGGCTGCGTATGCATCTGAATTGAAAAAAGAAGATAATAACAATAAACAAACGAAACGCATTTATACATTTTTTATCACTTGGAAAAAGAGAATACGAGAAATAACCAAAATTGTAATACTCGTAATGACGCGTTATTATCAGCTACGCGCGTATTTATATGTATAATGAAAAGCGATCCGCTTGAAATTCGGTGTATGTGGCTTCTCGACTTCGATGCGCAAAGATAAAGACTCTCTCTCTCTCTCTCTTTCTCTCTTGGTCTCTCTCTTTCGCGTCGAAGGTGCGAAGAGCGCACGAGGATGAAAAAGATGAAAGGCGCATTCCGCCTCTCTCTCTCACTCACTCACTTACTTGAAGAGTTCGCCAGCTCTTTCGTATACACGTATTATTCTTCCCTCGCGCGCGTGTGTAGGTATGTGTGTGTGTGTGTGTGTGCACTCATCATCAACACCCGAACAGCCCAAGGCAGTTTTCGCTCTTCCTCTCTTTCAAGCTCTCGCATGTGTATACGTATACGTGTGAGCTGCGTCTTCTCTTCTTCCTCGGCTTGATGGATGGAATTCCAGGCTCGCAAGCGTCCATGTATGTGCACATGCTCAGCAGAGATTGCAGCTTGTAAAGGGCTTGAGTATATGTGTATTGACTTCGAAACAGGCAAACGAGAGATGTATTGGAGAAACATATCCTATTGTATAATGTGCACTAAATATATTGGTCTGCCGCGATAGGTAATACACTTATTTTCTGCAGAAAACACAAGCAGCAGCTCCGTAATAAAACCCGATACCTCTAGTTTAGGATTTTTCGCGTCGTGAGCAGGCAAACAAAGAGATAATTATACTTCATTTTAATTAAAAATTTCTTTTTCATTTTCGAAAAAATCACGCACAAATATTGCAATGATTAAGACGAGGAGAATTTTTGGTAGACTCATTTTTCGCTTGGTACAAATATATACATACATAATATAAGCACGCAAGCACAAGCGCTCTTTGAAAGAGTTTGATCGATGAAACGTTAAGCGAGCAGAGCTCTCGAACGAGATATAGACTTTGCGACAGGTATATATATGCCTGTGTGTGTGTATACACGCGTGCTCTCTTGCGGCTGATGAAGAATTATCATCACAATGATTCACGGGCCTTATGAGTGATTTTTCAAAATCTTCATTCTTTAACCAGGCCAAGCTGTATACGTGAAATAAATATACGCAGCAGCTCAACGGCAGCAGCAGTGCGCAAAGCGTCAAAAGAAATATCGCGCACGATCGATGCGCGATGATTTTTTAAATCTCTCTGAGGGCTCCGAACTTAATAGAGATACAGGCCATTTGAGTCTAGTTCATATGCACGTGAGAATGATTTTTTATTTTTATTTGTTTCGCCTCAAAGCCCGATTCGTCGAATACACATGTAATTGTTTGGCAAACATGGGAATTTTCAAGCTTCATTTTGTATAGCATTCCTCCTCTACCAAATCGACGCAGCATGGAAATCTATTAGATCTCAGCAATGCCGATGGGTATATAAGTGTTTCGTCGATAGAGTATAGTGGAGGCGCAAAAAAAAAACAGGTGCTCTGAGAAGAGCTAATGGCTCGGTCGCGATCACGATCGGCGCATTAAATAATCGAAATATATATAGGTTTTCTTTCTCTTCTTGCTTGCAACCCATCATTTAGAGTCTTATATATGCATTTTGGAGTATACACGTTCCGCTAGTTCGTGCAGGTGTGTCTTTTACGATCGCCCGACGAAATTACACAATGTCGCGCGCGCTTGAACGGGTAATTCGGTTTGTCGAATGCGTGCGATTATAATATACATACGTTACATGCACATGAATCTCGATTAACGTACACGCGACTATGTATTTTCAAAGAATGTTTATAATTTCGATTTTTTTGATTTACTTGGCTAGACACGCGAATTATACACATCGAGAAAAAGTTTTGTACTCGCGAGCGCGTATTTAATCATTGCTCTATGTAAGCGCGAATAATAGAGCGTATGACCTAGCTTTCTTTTATCCTTATATGCAGCGAACAAATTCGAATAAGCAATATTATTCCGACTGTTTGAAGCGAGAAAGAAAAAAAAGTGGCAAACCAGAAGTCGAAAAGTCGTCAAGCATCGGGTCGTTTATACACGCGTGCGCTCGTGGTATACACACGTATAATATGCATATATATTATCGGCTGCAGCGATATTCATGTCCGGCATGCAGAAGCCAAAATGTCACGAGCAGGAATATACGCTCGAGAGTAGCGATCGTTTCTGGCGAGCCATGCGCTTCTGCGCGAGCGCGGCATCTCTTTTACATTTTAATCGAGCGAGAAACCTCAGTATGTTTTCTTTGCCTTTTACACCCCGTTGTTTTTTGGGCCTGTGTGTGGAGCATTTAATAATGAACCTCGCACACGGCAGATTTTTAATCCTTCTAGTCAGTAAAAATTCGACGTTTTCATTCGCCTCGAGAAAGAGAACAAGCAATTCTCGGAATGCGTACGATAATATTGGTCGACTTTTTTTCTTCCTCTTCTCTTCCCCCTTTGGGCAAAAAACCTGGATATAATACCGTAGGATTTATGGATTTTGCCGTGAGTTTATATTATTTAACGAGCTCCGTGCGCTGTCGATTTCAAATATTGACGGCGATCGCGCGGGATGCGAGACCGAGGATAGCGCGCGTATATCGAACTTCGCTATATACGGCAGATTTTGACTTCAGGCGCTTTTTTTCGATCCATTGTTAAGCAAATTCATCCGGTCTCGTGTTTGGCCTAGCTTCGCGCAACGTGTCGTAAGTTTTCCTGAGTTATATCTCAGGACGAAGATTGCGACGGTCACGGATAAATTTTGATTTTTTGTTATCACTCTAAACACTAAAAATATTTCATAAATTCATTATACATTGTTGTACAATGAAACGGACGTTCTAATAGATTTAAAAATTTCGTAAAAGCAAAAAATCTCGATTCAAGCGTAATTTTTTCTCCGTCATTCTCAAGGATTTTTTTGGTACGACATAATAGACTCGCGAGATAATGAAGCATAACATGATTCTCATTTAGTAATGAAACAGAGACCTCATACCTCAACATCACACCTCTAAAATACTCTCCGTGAGCCACATCCCACCCAGGCCGTATAATACGCTACAGCTTGAGAAAAACGAAAAATCACCCTCGCCCAATTCCGGCGTCAATTTAACGCTTCAACAAGCGTGAGGCCCGCGTTAAAGAGGATCAAAAACGTTCGACCGCGCGCACTCGCGTACACGACTTTTTTTGTGGCCGGGTGATCCGATCCTCGCGCGGCTCGCGAAAATTTAATTAACGATGCATCGAAAAGTCGGACACGCGCGCGAAAATGAAATCGGCCTCGTATCGCCAAGAATACGGGACGGAGGCGAGAAAGAGAGAACCGACATTTCGTTAAAAGGCCTGTTTATACGCCTGGCAATCTGGTGGCCCTTTTTCCTCTTTGAAAAATCTCGAGCGGGGTGGTCTCCGCGCTGTCAGAGAGCTGCCGTTACCGATGCAGAGTGCGCCGCGTGCGCGCGGCAATGACTCGGCGCGTTCCGTCGGCACACGCAACGATCGCCCGGTATTCGAAAAGGAAAGAATCGAGCCGGGCCTCTCTCTCTATAGCACCTATATTCGCGCCTATAAAGCAACTTGATTCGTTTTCTCTATAGATGTGCTGCGTCAATTGCCTATATGTGTGCTTGAAATAATATGACGATTTATTTTATTTTCGTTCCGCTCGTGTATGTATAGACGAGCGCCTTGAAAAGGGATTAAATGCGAATGCGTATGTATATTATAGTTGAATGCGAGTGGGGCTCGATGACTGATGACTACACGAGAATATTATTACTTTTTTCATGTATTTGCACAGCGGCGTGTTTATATTCGAGATTTCGTTGTGTTCCTCGAGAGCTGCAGGCCCGGCTTCCTGATATGGACTTAATGTTGCGCACAAATGTGATGCACCCACTTGCGCGCCAATACATCCTCTAAATAATGACGTTTCGTTTCTCTGGTTTATGTAGAAAAGTGCAGCTGATTATTTTACCTTTTTGGAAATCGACAACCGGTCCCTCTCAAAATGCGTATGCAAGCTCAGATTTTGCATCCCACTAAACGATCGAGAGGATATCTGCAGCAGTAAAATACGAGTATCTTATAGGAAGTTATGAATTTTAAAATTTCCTTCAGCAACGGCAGCAGCTGTACACACACGCGTCGCAGCAAGTGTGCAAACTACTGGCAATTTTATTTTTATTTTCTTCCACACTCTTTCTCTCAGTCATGAATATTTTATTTCGAAATATGCTTAATCTCAATTTATGAGCTTTATCATCAGGAATAAATTCATAATTCTGAGCTTGCTCATATTAATAATGCCTCGGCAATATGGGCGTAAGCCATGTTGTGCGTTTCTCTGAAAGGACTTCTGTATTATATACCAATATCTGCGTGCGTACCGGTATTTATACATGTTTACGTGCAAAATCACCGAAAACAAACAAAAGCATTGCAGAATATAAATTGGACAAGGAAAATAATGTGAGTTAAGCTATGAAAAAAATATATATATCGAAATTAGTTTTGATGTATATCATCGTTATTTTATTCTTCTCGTTGTGTTTGTCGATATTTTCAGCTAAAGATAATAATATTTATAATCATAGTATGTACAATAAATTATAATATAATATTCGCTTTCTTTTTTTGTAGTTTCTTGTTATCAACTATCGTACTACATTTACAAATACTTAATACGGTTTCGTCGGGAGGAAGGGAGGAAAGGTAAAAAGGTCGCGAGCGATATTATTCACGAACACGCTTGCAGCAACGGTATACATGATGCAAAATTATTTGCAATGCCTTATCCGCTTTTGACAACATAGTAACTATTTTGAAATATGCCGGGGCTATTATTTAACGCTCAGTTTTCAATTCATTTTATATTTTCATTCAAAGTCAACGATATTTTAGGATCTTACGATTTTATGCTACAAAATCTATTCTGAGAATTCTAATCACAAAGTCGATAGTACAAATCACGTAAATTTCGTGATATTTTACAATGAATTTTGAAACGAGAAAAATGTATTCAATTTAAAAATTACTCGGTGTCACCTAAGTGTATGGGCTACAAGCGAGATCTCGTCGATCAATTTTCATCACAGCAAACTTTATATTTTTCAAATATATATAAATATCTTCGTACAGCGATCATAATTGATCGAAAACGAGGCTGAAATATCTCATTTGCTAAAATTCATTTAAAAATTTTGTTCACTCGTAAGATAATATCGTAGGTATACGAGTGCGTATGTTACTGGAATCATTTAAAGAAAAAAGCTTCAGCGAGAATTCAGCCCTCGATATTTTTTCGAATATGCAGTTACGGATTGAATCACAATGTAAAACAATGTACAGTTTGGGTTACTTAAAAAATCTTCATCGGACAACAAACTAACATAAATATGTATAATCAACGTGTCTGGTCACCTTTGTACAAATTAGGATAGTTCGTAAACATGTAAGAATCATTCACGCCCTAAATTATATTACTCGTCATTTACACAGCATTTCTACTTCGCGATGAATTAAATTACCGATCGCCGGTAAAAAAATTAAATCAAATTCTCAAAGAGGAAACACATGCTAAGCCAAAGCGTTACGTAATAAGCGTATCGTCGCCAAGTATCCATTTTACGTGATAAACAATATACATAAATACGCAAACTCTAGGTAGCAGTCCCATAATTGGGCCTTTGGTGAACGCCATCGCTTAGACCCGCTTGAAGTCCGAAGCCCGCGGCGGATGCGTAAATCGGTCGTGGCATCGACAGGAGCTGGATTTTCTTCTCCTCAATGTCGTGCCTCTTGTTGGCACTGCTATGGTGCTGGTGTTGATGGCTGTGAGTGACATGATGCTGATGATCCTCCTGCTGCTGCTGCACATCATCGGGCGCGATAATATTTTCGATTGTAAAGGGTTTCTTTGTTCTCTTTCGAATCTGCTTGGCCAATAGACCGGCAGTGCTGCAAGCCTGATGGCTTATCATCGTCGTGGTCGCGGCGGTTGGGGCCTCGAGCACGAGAGGGTAACCCGGCGGCAGTGACTGATTCGCCTCGTCCTCGGAACTGCCGAGCCTCTCTCGCGCGTAAAAAGCGCCACTGTCGCGATAATTCAGTGCCGCCACAGCCGTTTCGCTGCTCGACGAGTAGGGGGAGCCACCACTGCTCAAGTAGGCGCCCGTCGCTGCCCCGAAAGAGGAAAAGTTCCACGCGGCTGCAGCTGCGGCGGCGTTCTGCAGAAGAGCCGCCGTCTCCATGGGCTGCTCGGCCTCGACCAGGCGCTGACGGGCCTCCGGATTGAGCAAGTGGTAATAGTTGGACGCGCAGCTCAACGGGCTGGCCACGGAGGTCGGCGGTGCCGGCACAGCGGCGGCGCACTCCGGCGACGTCGAGAAAGACGTGGAGGCCGCCGCGGCCGCCGCGAGCATCATTCCGCGCTCCTGCATCTCCCAGCGCATGAGATCCTCGCGCAACCGGTGCAGATTCGCCGAGTTCAGTCCACCCATGCCGGAGGTGGAGCCGCGCGACGGGGGCAGCGAGGCGTGCTCCGTGGCGCCCAACGGACTGGCCAAGCCGATCTCCGGCCGAGGTGGCGGTATCGTCTGCGCCAGAGCTTGCAGCTCCGTCTTCAGTAGCTCCTTGTCGGGTTTGTGGAGCTTGAAGCGCTTTCGACGGCGCAGCAAGCTGCCGTTTTCGAACATGGACAGGGCCGCCGGATGAAGCGCCCAGTAGGCACCTTTGCCCGGTCGATGCGGCCCTCGTGGAACCTGCAAGCAGAAGAATTAAAAATTTTCATTTTAGCGATCGTTCAACTCCTGTCGGCGAAATGCAGTGACAATTCAAGAGGCTTTTAGAATAGAATAAACAAAAATAGAGTATAAAGAAATATTTAGATACAACAGTTTATTTAACCTATATTATGTAAAATAGAAAGTTCATACATTGCAGTCTGTGGTAATTTCTTGGAAAGAAAAACGTCAGTAAGAGCGGCTCAATTTTGTTTATACATTCAAGATTATTACATTATAATATACAGCCTGCTCGAGAGGCATATGCTAAAAAAGCCGACTTTAACTGCCTATTAATGTGTTAACTACCGCTCGTGCAGCCGCAAGGTAACTGAAATCGTTCAAGTTAGAAATTGACTCTGGCCGTTATTCTTTTAGTTTTCTTTTTTCTCTTAAAAAAATCATAGTATAGGAACAAAAAGCTAGCGGACATGATTGCTCGAATCCGTCGTTGCTCTTCCGCGTATGTATGTGTATTAAAAACAAAGAAAATCAAGCTGCAATACACATGCGTTGCATAATTGTTCGATCTGCTTTACTATTGAATTGTGCATTAAACGAGAAGGAAAAAGTTATAAGGTAGCCACCGCCGCCGCCGCCGCACGATTAAGAGAACGTTTAAATTAATTGCACATACAGCTGGTACGGAGTGCATGTGCCTTGATGTGTGTACCGCAATTTGTTGTATGTATATTAACGTTTAATATATTATACACACATGCACATGTGCATATAGGAGCTCTCGCAAGAGAGTTGAAATAGTGACTATGAATATACGCCTGGACGTAACGAACGAGTATCGACTCAGTCAACAACGAAAGAAAGTTATTTTCGTCGCGTACGGCGAAAATTAATGTTCGAAAAATTAATCACAATTAAAGGCGTGAGATCGAAATCTTCCGCACGGTGTTAAAGTCTCTCATTGTGCGAGCGCTCGGTGCAATAACAGTTAGCCTCGGAGGCACTGCGTGCGGCGCGCGCGCGCGACAATATCGTGCGGTGTGTGGCGATTACTTTACGACCGCAGTCGATCAGAGGCGAAACTTTAAAGGAGTTATACGATCTCATATGGTTACACATGCATATATACTAGCTGCAAGGAACAATGAGCTCGACAGCAAATATTATACACATATTGTCAATTGACATTGAGCAAATAAGATAATTGCTTTTCGGCTTCGTTAACGTTCCGATCGCCTGATGCCATCTCGCAGATCGGCGATCCAGCATCGGTATCGGCTACGTGTTATCCGATGCAAAACTATGAGCCACCGACACAATCGATCGGCTTTTGTCGTTTAGAATTATTGCACAGCTGTTAGCAAGCCCATGACGCGTAGTACGCACTCGTGGTCGGACTCCATTGTGTACCGGACATTTTTAAATATCTAGATACGTTACACTCCTTTATGCTATTTATGCACCGTTTGTATGTAATTTGAATTATGGTTCAACCCGCTCAGCAATTCTCAATATAACATTTGAGTTTCTCAACAAAAGTTTACCCAAAAGTTCTTGGAGGTATCATATACATTTAACGCGAACGATTTGTTAACGAGAGCATTGCGCGCTGATCGTCTGGCTGAAATTAATTTTCCTGGCTCACGAGTACACAGATTTGCGCAATTATATATCAAGTCTGTGTGCACAAACACATGCGCAAATCTATAAAGCCTGGCGCACTGCTCGTCTTCCATTTACACGTATCATAGATAGTATTTACCCTTACAAGACAGCTCGCGAGAAAAAAGTTTTTGAGCGATGTTTCGTGCTTTCCAGCAATTGAGCGAAACGCGATATACCTTGTATGTATACTCGCACACGCATACAAGTAGATTTTATTCCTATGTGTATTAAACAGATGCCTTGGCTCGCACTCGTACCAAGACTAATGCTACCCACACACATACGCACACACACTCGCAGTTTGATAGAAATGCGTTTACACATAACCCACACGTACGAGCCTTGTACCACTCACACGAGAGAGTTTTGCAGGCGTATATCAACTTTATAATAAATTTTCAAAGGTGTATACAGATCGCGCGTGCGAGAGTGAAATTAATTATGCGCTCACCCAACGCGCCAGCTCGCGCTTATCCGCGTGTGCACTCAAATTATATACCGCGTACGTATATACGGGATTTTATATGTACTACATATACACACATACGCGCTATGCTCTATTGTAATAGACGATGCCTCGAATCTACCTGGCTCGAACGCGCATATGCACACAAATTAGTTCTCTCGCACCGAAGCGTCGTTGCGCAAGAATTTGGTCGCAAGATTTTAATTGAATTTTTTTTTTACCTTTTTTCAGTATACCCGTGCACGTAAAATCCACCGTCTAAGGGAGACCTTAATGAATTTTACACTTTACTGGCTTACGACTCGTGTAAGTATAGAAAACGTGGATATTTTCGCAGACGCACACACCCGACGGAATTATTATAAAAGACGTTTAAAAAATCATGATGCGCGCGTTAATTCAATTTAACGCCTAATTATTAAGCTCGCTAGGCATAATGAAATCAAATGTGAGCGGCCGCGCAGAACGTCTCGAAGCCCCGTGCTGCTGCGGCTGCATGCAGACTCGTGAAGCGTGAAAAATTGACAAGTCGAAGCACAACATTTCAACTTTTGCTCTCGCTCACGCCTCGCGCCTTCTCTATATGTTAAACGTCAGTCGCAGTTGCGGCTCAGCTCCTAAGTTGTATTTTCTTCCTCTTTTTTCAACAATTAGATGACTCGAGAAAAGCTACCGGAAAATTACATTGTGTACTCGGTTAATAGGCTTTTTTTTTTCTAATATCGCAATAATTATATATCCGCGGCGCTTCTCGTGCACTCGTGCGAGTGCGAACGACGCGATCACGTTCTGCTGAAGGCATGCTATACATGATACGGAGTGCCGACATGCAGCTCCGCTCGCGATACGGACATAAAAAAAATACTGTACATCGCGCTCACCTAGAGAAATTCTGCAATTGCACCGACGGCTCGTAGAAGAGGGAAAAAAATTGTTGTAGGTAAATATACCGTATAGTATAGCAATATAGCGTGATATTAGCACCGCTTCTCGTGCGTGAAGAGCTACAGACACACACGTACAAACACACTTACATATACACGCACACTTGTACGTACGTATATGCACGCGTATTATAAGGTATAGAGAGCTAGCCTCGGGGCTTAAAACGCGTCATTTTCATTTTAAAGACTCTCGCGAGCAACAGCAGCAGCGGCAGCGGCGGCAGTGGCAGACGAGAGGTGTAGCGCCTGGATAATAATCGCACACTATTATTCGAGGAATTTACATATTTAACGTGCATTATGCATGCCGCGCGGTTAAAGTAAACATACTTGCGCCACGCGATCTCCGCCGCTGCTACTACCTGCACATGTATAAGCCGCGCGATCACTTTATATAAATATATTATATTGTGCTGTGCTGCACTTTCGATACCTTGAGACTTTTATATACGAGCTGTATATTCGAGGATTAATTTGCTATAATATAATTCATAAATCGATAAAAGAACGTTCCAACCGTGCGCCGAGTTTATGGATTTTTAAAGCGCGCAACAGGATGTAAAAGAGATGCCTTTTTTTCCCCCAACCTTGCAAGGATGATTCTACGATTCAGTGCTGTTGGTATTCGAGCTGGACTGCATAAACTGGCATGAATGTAATAGAGCTTGAAACGTGAAAATTATTCAAATTTGCTCAAACGATGCTTCATCAGCGTAATTGTGTGTCGAGCATCGAACCTTGCTAGAGCTCTACATTTGAATAATTCTAGCAAACATTTGTTTAAAATTTTCCATTTCGCTCGAGCAGAACGAAATGGCCTCCACGCATAATATACTCGTTGAAGAAAAAATATTTAAAAATTTGCTCGTGTATACGTAAAGTATATTATATGAGCAACGCGTTTATGGCTTGCATTCGATAATCATTAATTAAAACATCTGCGCATTCGAATTTATTTTTTCAAAATATACCGCGCGAATATGAAACAAACTCGAGACAAATCGGTCGCGTATATACCTACGATATCATGACTGCATACAATTATGTGAACGAATCGAATTAAATCGGATGCATCCAAGTTTTGGGTTTGAATTACGCATGCCTCGTTCGTCATCCTCAAACACCCGGTTAAGGCGCGCGGCGGCATTTAAAAAAATCATCCCGCATCGAGTTTCACGCTTGCACCAGCAGCGGTTCGGCTCAAATATTAGCCATCATCGCTGGCTCGAGACGTAATTCAATTATATATTCGGCACACGATGTAAATATGCATATAGTATATATGCAGCAGCAGCAGCAGCAGCAGCAGTAGCAGTAGCGGCAGCGGTGGCAACGGCGGCGAGCGTTTAATTGGCCAAGCGTACGAGCCAATGGGACTGCAGTGCTGCAGGTGCGAAACAGATGGCCGTTCTCTTTCTGCTTCTGCATGTATAATCATGCCTTCTTGGCTTGCAGCTTTTCTCTCTCTCTCTCTCCTCTCGTTCTCTCTATCTTACTCAGTCGCTCGCTGTTTTATGAATATAATATGTTTTTGCATCAGTCTACAAATGCGCCGCTACGCGCGTATATATAAAACACCTTGTGTTTCTGTTGCTCGAGCAATGCGCGCGTGCGCGTAAACGAAGAGAGGGAAAAATAAATAATAAATAAATGAATCGAGAAATACGTTTCGTTTGTGTGTACTGGAGATGGCAAACTGGTTAGTACAACTGCAGATGTATACAGAGATCGGAGTAATTGATGGCGTGATCCAACTCAATCCCTCTCGCTTGCTACTTGCTATTCGTAGCTGAATTCAGATCGTTTGCCTGGCTTTGATAAAGGCGGCGCTTGGACTCCGGATATTTTTAATCAATTTGTGCAGAGTTCTATCTTTGTGGAGAGAATGAAAACATGACAATTTATTGTCAGGCTTCTTTTTCAAATTTTATGTATACGTTAAGAGCAGGTCGAGAAACAACTAAATCGAAAAAATGTAATTTCAAATTGCTTGACAATGCATATGTACATTTACTCCCGAACTCTATGCTCACGCGATTATCGTCTCAATGTTGCGATTGTTTTAATTTATTACAAAGTATTTAGTTCAATGCGTGCAAATAGTAAATTGGTTTGGCATAAATTAAACGTTTAACGAAGCCAATTGGTCGGAGTACTCTCAACTCAAAATTTACTTTTTTCAAAATCATTTATCAGACGCGGCTGAAGAAACTTTCAATAATCAATAATTTGGTTTCGATGGGGCGTCGAATAACAAACACATTGGATTTAGGCATTACCCGTCTACGAGAATCTTTAAATGGAAAACAAACAAATTTCACAACGATCAAACGGTGTACTACAAAGACTCAGGCCACAATGTGCTCCGTGAACATCGGCCGTCGCGTGATCTACCCTCTCAAAAGCGACGCCGCTCCGTCCTTATAATATTATATAAAGGCACCCCGTGTATCAGCCAAAGTCTCGGCTCTATCGCGCGCGTGTGAATATCATTTATTTAGGTAGCATTATGACTACAATATGAAAATCAAGTTGAACTGACAGCAGCCGTCACCCTCGCTTATACCAGCAAGATTCAAACCCTTCTAATGCTTTTTAAATCGCGTATCGTGACAAGCACGTAACGCATGACGTATATACTATATGCTGACGGTGCGCATTATAAAACTGACAATTCGTTCTTGTGTACGCTCACGGAGCTGAACTGAAAAGCTCAACATCGAATGCATTTCATAATTTTTTATGCTCATCGATTCAAAATTTTGAGTAGTAAAGTCAAAATGATTGTATCAGTCAAAATTATTGCAAAGAAAATCTGTATACACGATACCGTGCTTAATATAATATTCAAATGCAAGATCCGTAGTCAACAAACCCACGATTATTTTTGCACTCATTCATGACTATGCGAGCGTTTAATGTAAATTTTTCACGCAATTAAAATGAATTAATCAAAGTCAATAAATAAGCGAATGAATGAAGCAATCAAATATCTCAACACTTGCAAAGCGTTACACCCAAAAAATATATTATGTAGACTTGCATATTTTTCTTGGTCTATCCTCGGAGCTGTCGGTAATTAATGTTTACAACATTAGCCCTTGATTTACAACTCGATAGACGCGTAGCACGCTCACGCATGCATACACACACCTAGACTCGCATTCACAGATGGGTTTTACGGATGGCATCGCGTGTCATATTACAGGGTTATATTACAAATTAATTACTGGATGAATTTTTATTCGCGCCCATGAGTGCACTCGCGTGAGCCTCGATAAATTCCGCGAGCACGTTCATATGAGCATTATGATTAAAATTCAACTACTGCATTAGCAGATGTTATGTGCCACGATGACTTGTGTGTCCCCTAGCATACTCACACGCCTTTTTCGTGTCGAGAAATCACCGACTCGCCCGCGTTTTCCGCTCGAGAATATAATACAATGTGTGTACGCTTGGAACAAATATTTATGAAGCTTTATTTTGATTGACTAATTGATGTTTCTTTTTTTTTAATCATAATGCGTTTTAATACCCTCAAGCATCACAATTATACTGTTTTTTTTTTTACTTGGAACTACTGTGAGTGTGGATTATTTTTTTGCTTGACTTCTTTTATCGCGTGAGAGTTGCATTTATACCTGTATTGATCGTTCGCAGAAAGCATTAAAAAGCTATTCATCAAATTTTCAGGCGATAATGATTTGCAATGCAGCTGGCACGTATATTCCAAAAGGTTCAGCTTGCATTAAAATTAATACATCGATGATCTGCTGGAGTCCGCGAGGCTCGTAAATCATTGCAAATGCCGGGATCAAAAAGAACAAAACCGCCTTGAGAGTGAACCAAGAAGCTATATGGATTTGGTCGCACAAAAGAGTTCCACCAATAAATGAATCAATGTATATACGTAACTGAACAAGCCATAGAGAGACCAAGTGGCATAACTGAGTTTTATCGTTCGACAGTGCGGCCGAGCTGCACAAGCCGCAAAACCCCACGATCGAGCGCATTATTTGGATTGCAGCTCGTCGCCAATGACGCTACACGTCGATCTCAATGCCAATTGTTTTGAGTTAAAAATCAGTAGCGTGACTCGAAAAAAATGTGGTGACAATGTTATCCGAAGCACGCGTTTATGTTTGTCGCAAACGGTAGTGATCGGCAGCACGACAGGGTGGTAACAGTTGTCAAAGATATTACTAAATAGATGTTCGGTAAAATATATAAACGTATGTAACGCTTGTATATAAACGTATTCTGACGACGCGGTGGTGTTGTATATATGCCGCAAATACTTGTGTACATCGTACGTGTGAAATGATTGATTGAGATTTTCTCCGTAGCGTCGTCGTAATTCTTTCTCGAGAGCTCGCTAAACGAGCATATATGTGTGTGTGTATAAACGCGAGTTTATTCTTCTTTTATTTTTTCTATGCCACAGCTTATCTTTTGCCTAGAGAGGTAGAAAGAGTTAACATTTATTACTAGTTCGAACTAAGCAATTATATAAGTAGCAGCAGACGCCATGTGTATACGCGGTGATATGTGCGAGAACGAAATTGTACGCTAAGTATTTATGAACGCGAGCACGTCGATCTGCGATTATTAATGTACTTTTGAGTCAATAAATTTTGCGAATAGTGAAGAATTTGTGTTTACGCTCATTTTTACAAATACTTCGGTCTTTGGCAATGAGTAATGTTTCGATGATCAATTGACCAAATCGTTTCTCAACTGTATATACTTCATCGGGTCGTATGAGTTTCACTATTATACGTGCGACTATATCTAAAAAAATTAAGCGTATCATCTCGGGAGCTGTACAATGCAAGTTCATGTCTATGCAACAGGTTTTTATCTGCAATGCGTTACGCGATGTGAGCGTCCGATTATACTTGGTTACAAACAAACGATAGTTGACATATTGTATAAAGTGCGATGTAAATTTTTCTTTTCCGAGTTTTACAGCTCTCAATCGATATTCATTATAAAAACACGAATATACTTCGTACATGAGTTGTATTGCAGCTTGTTACAAGTTATATCCAATCTATCTGATTTGAAGATTGTAAAACTTTTAATATTATATTTTAATAAATATTTTTTCGGGCATCATATCTAGTACGACTTGCAGCGTTAGCGATGAAAGAAGGTTTTCAATCAAGCGTCTCATCATTGTGAGGCTCAAGTATTTTTTGCGCGAAGTTTGCTGTGTCTAACAAAGATCTGTCATTTGAGGAGAATAACAATAACAACAACAATAACAAACAACAGCAGTAACAACAACGACTTACCTTGATAAAACAATCGTTGAAGGACAAATTATGCCTCAGGGAGTTTTGCCATCGCCTCGTGTCCTTTCTGTAATAAGGAAATCTGTCAGCGATGAACTTGTAAATCTCCGCGAGCGGTAGCATTTTGTCTTTGGACGACCAGATGGCCATTGCTGTGAGCGAGATATACGAGTACGGCGGCTTCTGATCGCCGTACGTGTCTCTCGACGGTCTCGGCATTTTTGTAGCACTGTGAGTCTTCTTCGTGTCTTTTTTGTCGTCGTCGTTGTGGTGAACGTCGACGTTGATCTCGAATTATCGAGCTGCTGCTGCTGCTTTTTGTATCTAGTATTATTCACCAGCGAGTCGTGCTGTGTTCGTCGTTGAGGTCGCCCAAGCATTAATATTTCTCGCGATGGCATTTTGCTGCTCGATTAAATTCAACGATGAGATCGTTGCATGTGTTTTCTGGTGCATGTTATTATCGGCGATTATCATCGTCGACCTGTGACTGTTGTGACCGGTACAAGCTCACTTACGGGTATATTAACTTTACGGCAATTGTTAACTCAAGTCATGTCGCCGATCGCATTTTAACGTCACCAACTCGTGTACATTATACTTATTTTCATATCAATTAAACACTATATTGAACATTATACTTATTTACATAACAATTGTAGCATGAAATGGCGCAGCGTCTTGCACAAATTTGACAGATCTGTCTATGTTTTCACACTGAACTCAACACACTGTCAACGATTATAGCAGCAGATTTATGAATATCACAGCAGAATCACAAATTTCGTATTAACAATATAAATTTTCACTGACACGATGTATGCAAATGAAATGAGAAGGTAGGGAGGGAAAAAGAAAAAGAGCGTAAGCAAGGAACTGATCTGTAAAAGGTATATATACGCGCTCGCTGTAGCTTCCACTTTCGGAGCTCTGCAAAGACTGTCGAGCCAGTGTTCTGCAGACGCTGTCCCACACCCACTCGGCGGTTCCGCAGGAGCTATCCCTCCTTCAGCCACACGTCTCCCTCTCTTTCTCTCATGCGAGATCAGGAATCGCTGAGCGGTTGCTTTACTCTCTAAAGGATCGTATGACTAGGGTTGGCAATATAGGGCTTTCACACGCACACCAGTACAATTCGCAGAAACCAATCGGTTAGTTCGCGGCAGAAGTGGGCGCGGCTTAGCTCTCGGAAAACACGCCCTCGTGTTGGGCACGAGCTACCACATCTTGTGCATATAAAGAGAAAAAAACCGTGAGATTTTTTCTAACTACTGTATTGTCATTGAATAAAAGCTTTACCATACTTAAAAAGACAGATACGATTAGTATGGGTTATGGTTGACATACAATAATTCAAATCAATTTAGACTTACATAGTGTTAAAGGCATTTAGTCCATCAGCTGTTGATTAATACGGACTGTCTGATATAGCACTAGTACCCACGCACAATTATCATGTCAAAACAATTTGAACAATTGCGATGCCACACTTACTGAACCAAAGTTCTAAAATTACTTTTGTGAATTTCGTACGCTTAAGTCATGATCTGTGATATAAATAACATTCAAAAATTGTTAACAGTAACAAATAACAGAAAAATTGTAGAAATTACAATGAATTTATATACTTGGCGAAAAAAACGAATTTTAAAAATAATATTTTAAATAAGTTACAATTTATAACTACACGAAAGATGGTAAGGAGCGTATTCTACATAGTATTTAACATAATTTTTCATTTTCAACTGTGGCTTTACAGTTAAATCGTTAAAGTTATTCAAAATACTGTATTATTCCTAAACAAATTTTTCATCCACTACCATACGTGAATGAGATCATCTAAAAGAGGACATAAATAATCATTACGATTCATAATTCAATATAGAAAATTTTGCTCCGTCAAAATATTTCTATTACATTAAACTTTTTCTTGTACTGTAGTGCTTTCAATCAAAATACTAATTTCTGCATATTATCAATTAAATATGAACGAGCCAGATAAGCGAATGCAATTATTAAGACAAAAATGGGTTTTGCACTATTAGTTAATTTTAACAAGTCGATCCAACAATTTTATTCCATCTGCCGGATGGTATCGAAAAATAATAATTTATTTTAGACATAAAATATATTAGCTGGAACGATCAAACACTTTTGACAAATAAATTGACCATCTTTCTATACTATATCTTTGCATTCTATTTCTTGTTCACTGAAGGGCAGTGCGTGGTATACCTTCCACGTGCTACAAGCATCTCACTTGCACTTCTACGAGCAGCTCGGTTTGTCTGTCTCTCTCTTTCTCTCTCGCACGCACGCGTTCATTCCAATTGGTCACCCTCTATCCTCGTGGGCGGGATTTCAACCCACCAATCATCTATTTCAAACTAATTGATTTAACGTTTGCTGCTGAGGCCGCAAAACATTTCTCTTCTCTCTCTCTTTCTTTCCCTTTCTTGTCTAGAGGCTCATCTATATGTCATGGCTTCCAATGTACTCCACTTGTTAGTCTCACTGTTCTCCCTCCCTATATGTTTGGCGCTCTCCGTCATCAAATAATATTTATTAGCGCATGGCATCGGCTATGTACCTACCTATACTTGTAAAATCTACCGCTACTGGTCGGTTGGAGAGCTTATTCATGCTTATTCATACGTATACCTTTCACAGGTATACGAGTATGCTTATGTATAGGCAAGCAATGCATAAATACAAAAAAAAGTTGTGTGAGTACTTAAATTGCTTATTGATAATTGTACCTGGAATATCTGCTAATTAATACAAACAATTGAGAGCTTACCAAGCTTATCATCATTCCATTATACTTAAAGATATTTTAATATCAAATTTTAGCTTATGGAAATGAAAAAAGCTTCCTTTAAAAGAAAGCAAAATCGGTGTCACCAGGCTAGTGCTGATTTTATTCGAATTAGATTGAAAATTCATTTTCTCACAATTTATACTTTATTATTGACAATAAAAAATGAATAAAGGGTTCAAAGGTAACTTAAAGTGAAAAAAATTCCCTACTCGAATTTTGGAAATATTTTTTCTACTTTTTATAGAATTTTTTCAAATTCCAAAATTTTCATTTCTTACTGAGATCCAACCATTTCCATAACTCTTTTTCATATTGTAGATGTGCCAATGCCCGTCATGTTAAGAAATTGCCTGCTAAAAATATTTTTTCCAAATGAAATAAAAATTTTTAATTTATCCAGAACTTTTTTTATGATTATAGGAACTTCGAACATTATGAAAAAATTTTTTGTGGGTCATTTATTTAATTTTAAGAAAATAATTTTGCTATTTTGTTTAAGGGGGGGGGGGGGGGGGGGGGNAGCATCACTTCAAGAGTACTCAGCTAAATTTTTGTTGAAAAATATTGAAAAATGAGCCTGGGGCATCGGTTTGAAGAAAACACGTCGAAAAATGCGGTGTACACGATAACTCCTCGCAGAATCATCAGAAACAAGCCTAATGACATTTTTTTATTAGTTTAGAGGATTCTGAAGGTGCTGACGTCGAGTTTTTTAAAATATTTTCGTTTTTGAAAATTTGGCGTGATTTTGAAGTTGAAAAAATGGGAAAAAATTTTCCCAAAAATGAAAATATCTCGACGTCACTACCTAGTAAAATAGTTAATAAATAACGGTGTAAAATTTCAAAAAGATCGGTCAATAAGTTTTTGAGATATGATGTACACCGTCTTTGAAAATGTTATTGTTCAGGAAACGCGTTTAAAGATTTTGAGGTCCAGTCCTTCTTCCTTTTTGCACGTGCGTTAAATTGGTCATATCTTGGTTAATTTTGCTCCGATTGGCTTAAAATTTTAACTGAATACTTTTGAATGTATATAAAATCAAATAAGACAATAAAAAAAGTATCGAAAATTTTTGGCGAAAAATACTATACCCCCTTTAATGGCTAATAGAGCTATTTACCAGCCAGTTGTACCAATAAATGACCACCTATTTTACTGTATAAATAAAATGCAATTATTCCAAATTATATAAAAATGGTAAACCAATATTACAATTTAAGTAAAAAAGATAATATAGCAGTCCATATTTTGAGTAGATTTTGTTTTTTATATATAATAAATACAAAAACTAATCTGAGTAACGTCTCGGTACATTAACTATACGGCTTTTTGTTTGAGTTATAATTTTTAAGTATTCTTCGATCCTGGGTGGGGCCATTTGTCCACTGGCAGTGATGAAAATCAGGACAGTTAATATCTCTTTTTCATTGCCATTTTTCACTTCATATATCTTTTTCCACTCCTTTGGCCCAATGATTTTTCCAGTATCCGGACATAATTGGAAAACCGTCTCATCGCCGTTGAAAATACGCGATGGGGATTTTAAAATGTTCATGCAGTCATTTTCCTCGAGAAACTTTTTAAGATCTTTGAACCATTTTCGAATTGACTCTTCAGTAACTACCGATCGACCTTTTGAAATCCCTTCCACTTGTTTTTCACGAAGTTTTTCATGTCGATTCATGAACCCATCAAACCATTTTTGTCCAGGTTTGTCATTTGTAAATGGCACATCCAGTGACGAATCTCCAACGATTTTTTGAACAGTGAGGAGTAGCCGATCCATTTTTACTGGAAACCCACTCGCAGCGGAATTCATTATCTAATTATAAATTTTAGCTTCACCTTCTTCGCCTAAATATGGTTTTCGCCCTTTAGGTTTAATGGCCATCGAGGATTTACCTGCGATAATTTCGTTATAGGTAGATCTTGGGATGTTGTATTTCTTCGCTGCAACATTTTGACTTAAGGGTCCTCTATACACGATGACGATGACGAAAATAACTCAGTATAGTGAAAATGAACTTTTTTTCAATTTCAGCGACCCTCAAAACATAAATGTGATATTTTTTGCATTCTTATATTGAAATATCTAAGTTTGACCTTCAAATGACCTTGAAGGGAAGGTCGTAGAGGTCATCTGACTTTAGATTTAAATTCAGCATCCTCGAAAACTCATACAGGAGTTTTTCCAATTTTTTAACCTTTTTTTCATGGTTTGACCTTCAAATGACCTTTAAATGACCTGTAGATGTCAATATGAAGTCAAAATGACCCTGAATTTGAATTCAGCGACCCCCAAAACATAAAAAATATATTTTTCGGATTTTTATATCGAATTTTCTAAGTTTGACCTTCAAATGACCTTGAAGGGAAGGTCGTAGAGGTCATCTGACTTCAGATTTAAATTCAGCGTCCTCAAAAATCTAAATAGGGATAGTTTCAGATTTTTAAACCTATTTTTCATGATTTGACCTTTAAATGACCTTCAAATGACCTTAAATCGATCTGATGGCGAAAAACCGACGACGGATTCGGATTCAGCGACCCAAAAAACGTACAGTCTACTGGGTCCGGTCTCTGGAACTGAGCATTTTTTTTTGTGTGCCTGTGTAATTAATAGATGGGGTTGCCCAAGATATTTGCTGACAGATAACGGTACGGAATTTGTAAATAAAGATGTAGGTCGATATTTAGCGTCATTAGGCGTCGAACAAACGACGATACCCCCGTATATTGCCCGATGCAATCCCACTGAAAGAGTGAATAGAAATCTGCGTAGTATGATAGCTAGTTATATTGAAGAAGATCAAACGGATTGGGATCTACATCTACAAGAGCTCAAATTCGCTCTGAATACCGCGCATCATGATTCGATCGGCACGACGCCGTCCTTCCTCAATTTCGGTAGGCACCCGTTGCCAGCGTTGCAGTTGCGTAAAGAAGCGGAGACCCCGATAGATATATTGCCAAATGACCCCGAACGATGGTTGGTGCGAGCAAAACGTCTGCCATATTTACA